TTATTATTATTTTTTTTACTGTTGGGGGGCTTTGGGGAAATATTTGGGGTCTAAACAGACTCCTGATATTTCCCTTTTGAAATAGAAAAAGAGATTAGGACACAGAGTCCTCTGCCCATACAGGTGGGGAAGAGCAGCGGGGTTTCGAGGAGAAGCTGGAGCCTGTGCCACTCCTCTCCCTGCCGAGCCACGGTTGTGTTGGTCGCCTGGCGCCCCTGTTGCCAATGGCACCCTGTGCTCGCCATGGCAAAAGGGGTGAGGGGGCACAGCCAGGCCGGGCCTGGCTGCGCCCCCTCTCAGCTTCGCCTGAGGCGAGTGCCTCACTCGCCCCTTGGTAGCTACAGCCCTGAACTATAGTAAAAGGTACAATGGCAATGGGGAGTAGAGAATGAAAAAAGTGAATATTACTTTAAGCGTGGTATCTCACATCACCTTCCAAGCAGTGGATGAACATCCCTTCATATTTTTACTGTTTGCTGGTGTTCACTGTCACAAAACGTTGACAATCTATTCCCATCAATACATATGAAACATATTGTGTGAACTGCAGCACGCTCTATTTACTAAAAATGTATTTGTGTGTGTTCTAATATGCATTGATAATTTGTTTTCCTGAAGAACTTCTGGAACACAGTACATCTCTGTTAAAGTGCATTACAGCACATTAAAGAGAACCTATCAGTAACTTTACCAGTCTGCATGAATATATTTCTGACATATTGCAATGTAGCAGCTTTATATTTCTTTCAAATGCATTTTTTATCATTTAAAAGCAGACATTGAACTCCAGCCAGTGACTAGGTCCTGTCTTTCAGGGTCTGCTTGAGAAAATAACAGTGGCACAGTGTTTGTTGCAGGCATCAGGAGGAACTTCCTTTGTTTCTTTGGCCCTCCAGAGATCACTTACCGTACAAATGCACTTTTCTGGTAAGTTATAGTTTGAGAGGCTGTTATAGTTTGCGTAGGATCTGTGTACCAAGGATATCACTAGGCCGAGGCACCTGGGGAATGTTTGCTTGAGCGGTGGCTGAATGGGTGCTAGGGTAGTACTCTTAACACTGCATTCTTAGCGCCAGACCATACGTAACACACACCTACAGGTTGGGTAGCATGCTACCTACTGCTAATCTCAGCAGCTCTCAAATATTCCTAAACCCTGCACTATAGGTTGGGTAGCATGCTACCTATTGCTAATCTCAGCAGCTCTCAAATATTCCTAAACCCTGCACTTTGATGTTCATTACATACTCCTGACCACTGCCCTTACACTGGACTGTATGTTTCATGCTCCCGACCACTGCACTATGTATATTAGACTCTTAGCCACTGCATCCTCTAGGTCCATAGACATATAAAATCTGTAGCAGAACCTTCAGACAATTAGTCTCCGGGGGAAAATTCAATCAGCCAAGTTGGATTTCCCAGCCAAAGACTACTGCTTCATGGAGACAGCACTAATGTGGCTGGTCTCTGCCAAGTATAGAACCAACAAGTTGACCACCATCTAGTGTCTATATTTCTGTCACTGCAGATTTTCTTTTCAAAAGTAATTTGTATTTACCAATATCATTTTAACTGACCGAATTTCTCAAAAACTAAAAAAATGGCTGCAATGAATGTATATTTGATCTCACCTGATCTTTGGAACGGGAAAGGCAAAGTTTGATGACCTCAGATTCCAGCAGTGTTCTTCTCTGTACCTCTACAGGCTCATAGTATCGGGATAGTCTTGTCTGTCCTTGCTTGTTGACAATCAAGAAGAATTTGATCATTTCTACTACCAGAGGACTGTCTCATCGAACCCTAATTTTGTACACTGCAAGAAAACAGAAATACATTTTCTTACGCCTAAATTTCATATTGAAACATGTTCAATATTTTTTCTTCAATCATTGTAAACAGTCCTCTCCACCATGAATTTAAATTAATGTATACCATTATTTTTGTTTGAGTTTTGGCTAGAGTAGGAAAGGGTGTGAACCTCTACTAGGTTTTGTTTTGCTATCTGTGTCCCTGCTGGGGAGATTTATCCAAATTTCCTGTTTTAAGGACTACTGCCACCTAGGACAGGAAGAGAGGAGATATACATACTGACAATAAGAACAATCTGATAAGAACTTGCATGTTTGTCTGCAGATTAATCTGCAGACAAAAATGCTTGTCATTTTTTTGCTTACCGTACACATGGGGGAGAGGCCGAGTCCTATTCTTACTTAACATAGACTTTTATTTTTTTCCTCCCTTTCCTATACATAAGGCTCCTCCTTATCCTACATAATGCTTTGGTATTGTTTTTCATTTCTCGCTGCTATTCTGGTCATGCCCCCCAAAGTCTTTGAGGTTATAATAATGAGGTAATGATAATGAGGTTAATTTTCTTACTGCCTGCCTTGACCTAGATTTGTGTTCAGACTCTGCACTTAGCTGTTGATATGTTATGCTGCTTTGTTTATCAGCCTGTAAGTAGGCAGAAACTGGTCAGACAAACCTGAGACCCATAGACTGAGCCTCACTCAGTAATACCCAAACCTAAAACTTATTGAGAAGTCATGGTTTGAAAGATCCAAGGCTCCTCACTTTATGGAAACCGACATTTTCTGGCAGTAACACAAAGGGGAACATTATCGCCTGACAGTAATGAATAAATGCCAGCATAGGTGCATGAATAATGAAAAACTATTAACAGTGGTACCTCGGTTCACAAACTTAATTCGTTCCACGATTCTGGATGTGAACCGAATCAAACTGTGATCAGACCGCGATCTCGACTAGAGGAAGCCATGACCAGTGTCAGAGCAGGGGAGATGGCTACGGTTTTGTTCGTCACACGATGCGGAGTTCGCGAACGGAAGCAAAATTTTGCCCAACTTCCTGTTCGCAAACCTAATTGTTTGCGAAGAGAAGCGTTCCTGAACCGAGGTACCACTGTACAAAGACACATAATAGTTGCACAACCAGGGTTACATTGACATGCATATGAAGAAGTGTTTTAACAGAATAAAGATTCCTTTTTAAAGCATTTAAAAGTAAAATTGCCTTGCTTGGGACATTCAGCTATAGTTACCCTAAAAATCAGATCACACAAGGCCAGCAAAAAATGACTGGATTTACAGTCCAACAGGTGTGTGCATGTGTGTAATCCTAACAACAGGTGTGGCAGCATATGTGTGAAGGAATGCACCAGCGTGAGCATATGTTCCTCTGTCTCTGTGGACAGGAATGGCTAGATGTAGTAAACATGCAATGTGTTGCTAGCAATAGCAACGATTTGCAGTTTAAAACCAGATACAAATAATAGTGTATACACGCTAGATTCAATTTGCAACATTTTAGAGCATTTAGAAAAAAAGGACAGTAGAAATTAGTTCTTTTCTGCCATCAGTGGAATATCATCCAGGCAAGGAATGGAAACAGCTCTTTTATATTGGGAGCCACGGATGTATCTACAGTATTATGATGTTTGTAAAGATGGCCATACACCTATAAAATACCTGAACAATCTGATTGGATGCAGGCATTGTTCGGGTATTTTCAGAGCCAGCGGGGCCGACTAGCAAGATACTGAAGCTTGGCCCAGCGGGAGATTCCTTCAGCCACACAGTTAAGTGTAGATGGAGGAATCTGTTGCAATTTTTCCATCAGACCATAGAACATCGGCAGATATTCTATAGGTGTATAGCCAGTTTAAGGTTCCTGAAAGCAGTCTGAAGACCAGGGTGCAAAAACAACAGCCTTCGGAAATTCCTGCATTTCATGGGAATGGGCACATGATAATAGGTATTTCTGATAGATCTGTCAAGGCCACATTTAGATTTCTAGATAAGGAAAGAGATTCCATTGGTAACTTTGTGAAACAGAGATGCATGTTGGGACAATGATAAGCCTTAAGGGTCAACTGGACTCTCTTACTGGAAAATAGGACAATAAACCCCCCTTTTTCCTCATATCTGGAAACAGACAAAAATTTTTTAGCAAGAATATCTGAACGGATTATCACATGATTTTTTGTAAGATCAATGGTACAGCTTAACTTTGTACTTGATGAGGATTCAGCTTGTAAGCATCAGCCACTACCCAACTCAAAGAAATTTGCAAATCCAGTTATATTCAATAATATTCTCCTAAACCAGGATAAACTATGATAGCCACCCACACTGGACATCTTCAATGGCTGGGTCCATTGGTAGTGCAGGGATCAAACATGACGCCAGTGGAGTTCTTAGCTTTGGCACCTTGCAATGATAGCCTCCCTACTGGACGGACATCTTCATTCGCTGGGTCCATCGGTAGTGCAGGGATCAAATATGAAGCCAGTGGAGTTCTGAGCTTTGGCACCTTGCAAGAGTCTATCACCTGGTCTATTTATTCTCCCTCTTAAAGAGATTAACATTTCTTCCTAAATTTAGAAGAAAAAAAACAAATTTGAGAATGTCTAGTAAGAGCTGCATACAGTCCAGCTCAAAATAATATATCTCCTTCAAGTGGCAGAATGCATTTAAGAAGAGCATCCTGTTACGACCCTAAGCCTTTAAGATGGGCTGCCATGTGTACTGCTTGACCAAAATTAATTTTGAAGCCTTTATGAATATTGTGATTGGATCCAAAATCTGGTCATGTATTTATATTTAAGTTATAGGAGTACCTTCTTTGAGATGCCTTTTTTGCTCTTTGAGCGAGTAATGTTGTTGTATAGTTGGGAGCTTAATTAGGAGATTATTATTATTAGGGATGCACCGATACAAAGTACCGTACTTGGCACAAGTACAGATACTTTTCGAGCTCCAAGACTAGACTAGAGAAAAATTCTAAAGTTAGGAGGCAGCTGTCATTTGTAGAGAGCACACGGAGCTCCTGGGATTTGTACATCTCTGATTTAATGTATGATTTCGTTTTTATAAACATATATGAAGGTGCGCACCTATACCAGTTTTGCAAGTACAAGTACTGGTACATTTCTGTTTATTGTCATGTGACAGTTTTTCTAAAACAATACAGACTAATGATTTCAGGATAGTGGTGGAGTGCCAGAGCCAGGTCCCAGCTGCAACCGCTGCAACCCTGGTAGTTCTCATGAAAATGCCAAGTATCGGCACTGGTATCTGAAAAGTATCGGTGCATCCCTAATTATTATTATACAGGATTTATATAGCGCCAACAGTTTGTGCAGTGCTTTACAATATAATACAGGAGATAATACAATAGCCAACCAAGAACGTCTTAACAGTATCTCACCCATTCTGGCCAATAAATCCCTGATTACTCCTGTATCCACAAATGGGATGGACTGTACTTAAACAGTTTAAAATGGGTGCAGTTACACGTGGTCATTTGGCCCCTTTAACAACATCCGAGTCATTGCCTCTTAGCGGAATGATGAACAAAGAGCTTCTTATCCTTCTCATTCCATTCTGACTGAATGAATACTAGCATAGAAACTATAAATAGGAAACATAACCAGTTCAGCTTGTTTTTGCTCTGACATCCTGAATGTCTATTTTCATCAACAATATTGTGTATGGGGCTAATGATTCTGAGGAGACCATTGTCTCAGGGGTTGATCTGAACTTTCATTAACAAGAAGAGAAAGCTAGTTATGTCCTCCTTCACCAACTCTACATATTAACCTTCTCTTTTATTAGCCCATCCTCTGAAATTCTGAGGAACGATTTTCCCTCGAGTAAACATGTATTTTACTTAGCAGGGAATGTGGACTAGCAGGTGCAGGAGTTGGTGCTACAAGCTACTTAAAGGAGAACTATGAGGCGAGTTAAAATCACTCAGCCTCATAGTTCGAGCCGACGTGTGACAATGAAACTGTCACACGTCTGCTTAATAGATCGAGAAGTGAGCGAACGCATAACGTCGCTTACTCACTTCTCGATCATGTGCCTGCAGAGAACCGTGACTGTCACTCACGGGGCCCTGCAGGGATTCCCCCCTCCGATCCTCCAGCGCTGACTGGCGGAACAGACGGAGGAAGGGGCGGGTACAGCTGGCTCTGCCTCTAGATAGGCAGAGCCAGCTGTCACTCACGCAGCTGGGTGGATCCAGACAGTATTGTTGAGATTCGTCCCGGCTGCGGCGTCTCAGTATACCGCGAGCTGTAGCTCGCAATCTACTGAGCTTTGGGTGACGGGAGGACGCTAGTTTGTGTCCTCCCGTTACCCTTAGGAGAACTATGGGGAAAAGCCCTGACCCCATAGTTCTCCTTTAAGAGTGGGGAATAAAATTCATCAGCCTGAAAAAGTGAAATGCTGCTGCTTTATGTTTAAAAAACAGTAGTCATACAACCGTTTTATATTATGCTGAAAGCACATCTTCTGGAGCTTCCATAACAAAAAGGACCATCCTACCAAAAGGAGAGGCGTCTCAGACTGGAGATCAGGGACCACCAAGGACAGGAAAACATTGAGGAGATGGGATGCCCCTGAAAGGTAGGCACAGTAATAACTCTCCATGGATATAGTGGAGGAAGATGTGGAAGATCTAGTTCAGGTCATTATAATAGACGTATTACATTTATAGTGTTTTTATCTACCCCTTCACACTATAAAATACATAGAAGCTTCATAGAGTAAGACCTCTTACCACTGCAAATGCATGCAGCACTTCTAAATCTTGTTTCCCATTGACAGTCCAAACTGGTGATTTCCTTCACAAGCATGTATTAAATATTTGCCTGGAGTTGCACTGAAACACTAACTGGTATTTTAGTCACCTTTAGTTAGTAGTTACCCAGTTCTTGTCATAGTGTAATTATGTTGTCTATCACATTAGACCAGGAATATCCCCATTCATACCACACATTCTATTACT